TTTTAATATAAATCATTAGAATATATTTATAGTATATATAAATCTATACATTAGAAGGTAATATTGAAATTTTGCTCTACAGATTATTACTCTAGAATTAATTCTCTTTAAAAAATATATCATGGGGAAGAATTAGAAGATGACTGTGAAACAGATTCTTCCATTACAATACTGCTTTTGTCATGTAGAGTTTTGACAACAGTTGTGGCTGGTGACTGCAGCACTTTGCGAGAAAGCCTCATTCTTCCATCAGCTGGATCACGTCCAAAATATTTGACCTGTGTTAAAGAAACAAATTTAAAGTTTTTCCTTGTTTACTGAAACCATAGCTCAGCGCTAAGTGAGGGTATATTCTAATAAATATAATTTGGTTAAGCAGTGATTATAACAAAGGAAAAGAGATAGGGTATTATTTGCCTAATTATAATCTTCTGTTAGATTAATTTGTGCCTTCTTATTCTCTCCAGGGCAGGTCCCTACACCAGAAATCAAGTGAAAGTCATGATAAATGATTCTACAAGGGCTTTTGAGCCTCATTGTGCTACAAACTATACAGGATTACACTTAGGTCACTCAGACTACTGCTCAAAGGACTATCACACTGGAGATTATTTGGCTTGATCTTAGACAATGAAAGTCAGGGGGAACTGTGGCAGTATTTAAAATCCCTTATGATGTTAAAAGAAAAGTCTTATACAGAGATATTATGTCTTAGTTCTCATCTTTCCCTAAAGGCTACTTGAACAATGGGCTTGCAGACTGGGAATAAATTAGAAGCTATAGTTACTCAGATCATGGGTATTAGGTATAACTGGAACAAAAGGTGGTGTGGCCCAAGAAACTAAGACTGGCAATAAGTTCTTTCATCAACTCCAAAAGGACTATTAAAAAAGGCCAATTTTGTTATCAATTCTGGAACTGAACAATATGGCTTTTATCAAACTCAAAAACTTTTATCCTCAAGCAGTGTATTAGAGTCCCAACTCTTTAAATATGACATTCAAGATCCTTAACAGAGTTATCAGGGTTCTATTGTCCTGTCACTAAATCACTGACTCTGCATAGCCATCACTGACCTGTTCGTGTAATTTTAAAAGCTCTAAATGGAACTATTATCCTAACTAAACTGTAAACTATAAACTCCTCGAGGGAACGAATTGTCTTAAATCCTTAATGAGTCTATTTAAGCAACCCTAAGGTTAAAAAAGAAGCACAGCAGATAAATAATACAAATCACAAACATTGCCCTGGTTAGAGTGTCCTTCCTGAAACACCACGGTTGTGGGTTCAATCTCCAGTCAGGGGACATACAAGAAGCAACCAGTACATGCATAAATAAGTGGAACAACAAATGTTGATTTGATTCTTTCAGCTTACTTTTTGAAACAATAATTGAAACTAAGTACAATTTACAATTCTAGGCTAAAGGGTTGAATACAAGTACCTGAATTTCTTGGCCAACTTCTAATCCTAAGGCAGTGGGATGCTGAATCTGAAAGAGAACATGTTAAACTATTAGTTGTCATTTTAATTACTTAATATCTATGGAAATACCCATTTTTCCCCAAGTGGAAAATAGCTTTATTGGTTTTTCTGATTATAAAATCATAATTATAAAGATTTAAAATAATAAGTATTCAGATGATAGTAAAAAGCATCTAAACCCCTTCTACTTGTAGATAAATTATTGCTAACACTCCAATGAATATCTCTTCAAATGTTTCCCTATTTAGTGTTTGTATTGCATTTGTTAAAATGGACCTTTCTCAGCTTGTTGTTTCATTCAATGTGTTGAAGACGTCTTTTCATATCAATAAATGAAACATTACAGTTGAGTACTGAAATGATGTAATTTGTATAACCAATCCCCTATATATGGTCACTTACTTTGTTTTAAAATTCCAGGGTTGCAAATGCTAATTGATAAATATAGGTGAAAGCGATATGGGTTTCAGTGTATTTTCCAAAATAAAAAGTTGACAAAAAATTAACTGCAGTGTTGAAATGATTATGTATTTATCTACTCTAATTATCCTCTTAGAACAAAGACCTATGTAGAACTCTTAGGTCCAAAGGTACTCATATATATTACCAAATACTTTCCAAAAAGTTGGCTCCTATTTATATTCCTATCAGCACTGTATGAGAATGTCTATTTCTTTTCCATATTCTTTTCTATACTGGGAATTTTCAACTATCATAAAGTTGAAAAATGATAACTTTGAATATCTTGGTTGGCATTAAAAAATGATTGGTCTGTCATATTCTTTGCTCATTTTCCTATTGATATTCATCTTTCTTACTGACCTATACAAGATCTTTATATATGAAATCTTTGTCATATGTTACAAGCATTTTTTCTTTAAGTTGTTGCCTGTCTTTCAATCTTATTGTAATTTTGCAATATAATGAGATACAGTATTATTAATTTATTTACATTTTGGCTTTGATACCGTGCTGAGAAATATTTACCCAGGCAGAAGATTAGAATATTCTAGTCCTCTCTCAACAGCCTTCCATGCCCCAATTTTTTAAAATTTTTTGTTTACATTTAGCTCCTTGATCCAGATGGGATTTTGGTATTAAGAGTAGAGATCCTTCTTTATGATAACCAGCTGTAACAATACGATTTATTGAATAATCTCTGATTCTTCCTTGAGTGAAAATACAGTGTAAACATTGTATTATGTAGTCCCCTGTCCATAACTGGGTTTATTTCTGTTTTATGCATCATCTATTTCAGGGTCAGTAATACACTGTTTTGTTCTCTATAGCTTTATGCTTTAATATATGGTAAAAATAGATACTCCTATTATTCCTCTGCTCTCCATCCCATTGTTTTCTTGAGTATTTTCATATTCTGCCTATGAACTATAACAAATATTAAGTAAATTTAAAAACATCCTAAGAATTATCTTGCCTTGATTGGTTGGTCAAGAAAATTGGGAAAACAGGGTTACTGCTATTTTAAGTAATTGCTTTGTGTTAACTCTAGATGTTATTTCACCCCAAAACTTTCAAGAGCCGTTTCTATTCCATCATGGAAGGAGAAACAAATATCTGTGATAAATAATGTAAAACCTTTTGTCAGCAGCATTTCTATCAGTTTTGGTTTTCTATATTAGGCCAGTAGTAGACAGAGTGTACAGTTCTCACCAGCCCAGTAAATTTCACTATGATTATTTTAAGGCAGTTTGAAAAATAAAATGTCTTTTTTTTTTTTTTTTTACCTTTCGTTGATCAAGTTGTGAGTTATGAAGTAGTACTGCAGTCATATTTGGATATAGTTTAACCATTACTCCACTGTCTCTACAAAAAAGGAAATAGGCCTGGTTAAAACATTAAGTATCTATGTATCCATTGATAATCAAACTGTGATTATGTTTTCCTAAGAGAACAAAATAAAAAAACAAAAATCCCTCCAGTACATGTTTTTTCTTTCCTTTTTTCTCCAGTTTTATTGAGATATAACTGACACATAACATTGTATAAGTTTAAGGTTTCAGTACATGTTTTTATAACTATAAGGAGTATGATTGTCTAAAAGGGATACTTACTTTTTTCAATTAAAAATATACCCTATTTAAATATTTAAATACTATGTATCAAAGGACAGAGAAAAGATAACAGAAAATCATGCAGTGAAAAGCCTTTAGAATATATATATGTATATATATATTCTTTTTCTGTATTTCTCTTAATATTTTCCAAAAAATTTTGAAATGACATTAAATATTTTAAGAATTACCATCAACTTATTACACAGTGATTTAAGGAAGGAGGTTAGATAACTGGTATACTTATTTTATTTAAAAATTTCTTATTTTCTATAATCTAAAATCAGCCATTCCATTTCATAGTTCTCACCTTTAATATTACATTATCCCATTGCCTTTTATTATTCATTTCAAATTGCTTTGAACATTCATGCTACATCTGATAATTTATTTTTTTCGTAGAAAAGGATTTTCTGATCCTTAAAATCAATCTTTTTATCTAGTAAAAATAAAATGTACTACATAGGCAATAAATAGTACTTAAGACCAACAAGAAAATACCAAAGAGAGAAAAAGCAAAAGCAAAGAAAAACTAAATATTTCTAATAGTCTATTTTGGGTTTGTTAACTATTTATTGGGAAAATTAAAAAGATAGGAAATTTGGTTAAACTACTCAGTTAAAATAATCTATTATTATAATTTGTAATTACAGAACCATGTTACTGAAAATCTACAAACTGATGTAGAAAATAAATTTATACCTTAAAATAATTAATGATTATATGGTAACTGACATATAGTCTAAACATAACTTCTAAATCAATAAAGCAAACATATATGAAGCTTATAATATAAATCTTATTAAAAAAACCAATAAAACATATTACTTGGTATTACCTGATTTCAGTTATTGTTGCGGTATATACTGCTCCAAATTCCAATTGCTGCTCTTGCTGTAAGTGCAAAATAAGCCGTAAGATTCATTAAGAAAACAGCAACAAAAAGTAGAGAAAAATAACTGTTATAAGATCCATACTTACATCATCTTTGCAGATTTCCATAATGTAGTCTCTTGCTTCATGCATAGCACTGGGTATTGGTGCAAATACAGAAAATGTTTCTTCATCTACCTGACTAATGGTTACACCTTTTAAAAAGATAATTTAACATATTAAAGTTAACTTGCTCATTCCAGTGGAGATTAGTCTGAAAAGATGTGAGTGGAGGAAAGTGACCTGGAAGTAGCTGGGCAGGGTTGTGCTATGTTTAATCAATGCTTTAGGAATGAAGGGATTTATTTACCAACAAATACACCCTGCATCTCTGGTATGTATCCAGATTGTGCTAGCCAATATCCCCTCTTTCTTGTAGCTCATAATCTGATGGGATAAAGCATGCAAGTTCTAATTTTGGAGATTTTAGTTTTGCTCTCTTAATTATGAGTAAAGGCGATAGTAGAATTCTTTCTTCAACTTTTCTTCTCTCTCCCTTTTATCCTTTAGAGTGGTGAACAGTGGATAAGGGAAGAAATCATGTCAGTTTCTCAATCTTAATGACTCTCCTCACTCTCCTTCAATAATCTCAAAGCTGGTAAGTACTAGGTAACCCAAAGTTTGCTTTCAGAAAAAAACAAATTAAAGCTTACTATTCCTACACTTACTCTTTAAAAATAAGAGTAATGCTATGTGAAAAACGGCAGAAGTAATTGTAAGAGAAAATTAAAGCAGAACTCGAAAGTGAAAAACTAAACATTTTTCTAAATGCTTGATTTTAAATTGTTGCAAAAAAAACCTAGGAATTCTAGGTCATCCTTCTTGAAGACAGTTAAGGATGATCATTTGCTAATTTATTAATAGGCATACAGAAAACTTACAGTAAAGCCATATCTATGTTATATTCTTTTCTTTTGGTCTTCCTCTCATTTACCAAACATATATTTTTAGAGCAATGCAATAGAAATGAAGTGACAAACTTACATGGCCTAGCATTACATAAAAAACCCAAACTTCATATAACACTTACCTGTTTCAGCCTGAAGTTTTTTTAAATTATATCCACCTGGTCCAACAAATTTTGCTCGTTTTGATAATGGAACCTGAACAGTTTCTGAAATGTAGTATAGACAAAAATATAAATAAATACATATATGAATCTAAAACATGTCCTGGTTACTTAAGAGTTTTTTGGCCTAGATACATGTACAAATATTTCAGTATGAAACAGAAAACAATTTGCTACTGATTAAAATTACTGAAAGTTCTAATATCAATATTCTCCCAAATTTAAAGCATTTAAATCATAAAAGTTTTAAAATAGATTTGTTTTGTGTATGGAGTTACAAATATTGAAAAATAATATTAACATTTATCTTATCATGAAACCAGTACTAATTTTATTACCTATAACAGGTCCATTTTCTTTTCTAGATGCCCGAGGCTTTGAAATAACTTTGTTCATAATCTGTAGTATCTCCTTCTTTGCCACTAGGAGAGATTAAAAACATAATAAAAATAATAACTACATAAACTAAATATGATAAGTTATAGCAGCAGTTGTCTTAGTTTTTATGGCATAAAATTCAAATTTTTTAGCTTAATAATAAAAGCTCTTCACATTTGTTACCTTGACAATTCTACTTGTATTTCCTTCTCTATTATTATTATCTTAGAAAGTTACTTAATTTGAAAAATTTGAATTTTTAGTGGCCTCCCACTTTGGTGGTTAGTTATGTGTCTAATAACTTAATACTTCTTGATCGAGGGTGTTACATGAAATTTCATTTTCTAAAGCAATGCTTTCTAATAAGCCTATTTTTTATAATAAGCCTACTGGGAATTAGAGTTCCATTAACAAAGTAGATAATGATGAAAGGAGAATGAGGCACACTGGCTTGGCTTACCTGAGGCTTGTTGAATGGCCTCCATTACAATTTTTAATGGTATTCCAGGTAATTTAATATCAGCCTAATAAGGAAAAGCCAAATATTATATAAATACTGATTCACAACATTATTAAATATTATAAAAATGAAACAAAATGGGCTTAAAAATACCTGTAATGCAGTTATTCCCTTATTAGTGCCGGCTATTTTGAAATCCATGTCACCATTGTAATCTTCAATTCCCTTAAGGAAGTTAAGAAATTATGATTTAGTTTTAAATACAAACAAAATTCACTCATTGTCATTGTAGAGAAATTTTAAAAAATAGCTTTAGATATAGTAAACTGTGTCCTCTAAGATGACACACATATTTTAACTGCTTCCAATTTGTGACTTTTAAGTTACAAATATTTCATCTGAAAAATCACTATTTTAGATCATGTTTTTCCCTAAAAGCATAAGGATTAATTTATGATTATCCTAAAGTGAGCTAAACTATGGGTATTTATATGTAATATATATTTTTAACTCACGTCCTATAAAAAACAAGGAGAAAATGTAGAGGAGGAAATCAAGAACAAGGACCTCTATTTCTTGAGTCCTAGCATTCTTTTAAGCAAAGATGCTTGTAAAGTATGTATAATCTTTACCATTAAGTATTGGAAAATGTGAATATACTTGCCAGAATATCTGTTAGCAAACGATAATCTTCTATTTCATCCTTATCAGGATTGTTTTTGGTCACCAATCCTACTGCCACACCCGCGACAGCAGATGAAATAGGAACCCCTGTAATTGAGAGAAAGAACTTCTGTGTGATATATACATCAGCCTAACACATACATTTATCATTCTGTTGACATTTATTTTAATGTAAGTGGATGGTATTCTAAATTGACAGTCACCGAAACTAATTTGGAAAGGTCTTTTTTAAAAAAAATTTCCCTCCTTGTGAGGTCACCCTACCTGGCTGTGTCCTTTGGTATCTGACTCCTTCTGGGTTCTGGTTACAGACCCTCCCTGCCCCCCCCCCCCATTCCTTTTTTTTTTTTTTTTAAGATTTTCAAATTAATTTTTGAGAGAGAGGAAGGGAGAAGGAGGGAGAGACAGAGAAACATTTATGTGAGAGTGAAATATGATTGGCTGCCTCCTGCATGCCCCCCCCTACCAGGGATTGAGCCTGAAACCTGGGCATGTGCCCTGACCAGGAATCAAACCAGCAATCTTTCAACCAATTGAGCCACACTGGGTGGAAAGATCTTAATAAGTCATCTAACTACCTCATTTTTCTTAAACATACAATAAAAGCCCCTTAAAAACAATTCTAACAAGTAATAATTCTTTTTAGCACAAAGCTCTCTCTAATAATAGTAATCTTAACGCTTTTATTTGTTGATTGATTTTAGAGGAGGGAGGAGGGAAGGAGAGACAGACATCAATTTACTGTTCCATTTACTTATGCATTCATTGGTTTCTATCAGTATCCTTTTTATTGGTAGGCCTGTGTTCTTAGTCAACTCATGAACAAAGATAGTGAAAAGAACAAGGTTTAGGATGACACATCCTGAGGTATTACACTTGAGACCCTTCTCCTACCAACCCATCAGATTAACAAAACCCCTTTGCTCATCCTTCAACCAGTTATGAAATGTGCACCTAGCATCCAGTTTCAATTTCTGCATTATTTATACAAAGATCATAAAGGCTGAACTTTAGATACACTGCATAAGCAGTACCCTCCCTCCTCAATCCAAATCTAGTAATATTTTTGAAAACAAAATATTAGTTTACTATGGCATGACTTATTTTGACTTTCTCTGGTTCCTACTCTCCACAGCCCTCTTCCCTTACAAAATCCTTATAAACCATTCTTTTTATAGTGTACCTAAGAGTCTTGCTGAGGGTCACTTTCAGGTTCACTGAGTTATACTTTATAGAAAATACCTTTCTTTGCTTTCAGAAGTAAGAACTTTTTGTGTCTTTGGTATACTAACTAGACTCTGATTTCTCAAACACTTCAGTTATCTCATCTTGAAGTACTTGTCATACTTGGGATGGATTTTTGTCTAAATCAAAAGATCTGAATTCATTTAAAACAGTTGAAAACTCTTATAATCTCTTTTCAGTTCACCTTTTTCAGAATTTGTTCTGTGTTTTCCAAACTGAGATTAGAAGACTGATGAATGCAAGCTCCACAAGGACAGGGACTTTGTTTTGTGTCCTACTAAGATCAGTGCTTGGTACAAGGGTGGCATACAATAAAGATGTGTTGAATGAATGCCTGAAGGTGAAAATAGGAATAGTATTCTACTAGTTACCTTAAATATCAGATTGTTTCCCTTCCATGGAACACAACTAGAAAAACACCTTTAATTGCTTTTAGCTTTTTCCCTTTGGCTGAAATTTTAATCTCCCTAGATAATGTTATATATTCACACCATTCTTTTATTTTGTCCTTCGATAGGTTGTCCTATCTTTCATACTTGTACTGTAAATGTGTAAACTTATAGGGGAACTCCTTGTGTGGCCTCTTGAGTGACTTTAGATTCCTTTTTCTTTCTCGAATAGCATCATTAGTGACTATTTGGCAATAATTGTTATTAGAGACTCTTAAGTTTTTGACTCTTTCCCTTTTAGTGTTTCAGACTCAAAGATTATATTTAACCACTTGTAGTCTTCCTTCTTAAAATTATGTGTACACTCTATGAGTGGCATTGTTCTTCTCATAACTTACACAAAGTGGCTGGATGATTACATGGTTATTTTCCCTTATCAGTCCTACTACTGGAATCAACTTTAGTGAAAGGTGGAGCTCTCCACCTTTTGGAAGGTGAGAAAGCTTACTGGGTCACCAAGGGCAAGTAAACAATTTCAGTGTATTGCTTTTAGCCAAAAAAATAGGAATGCCAGCAGATATTTGTGACTACTTTGCTTCTGGCCTGGTTTGGTAAGTTGTAATATCACTTCTCTAAGTCTTACAAATAAATATTCAATTTGAAAGAAATCTTATATTTTATACTAACCAAGTACTGTATAATAAAGCATTAGAAGTTTTGAGACATAATTCTTTTACCTGCATCCATTAATGCTAAACTTCCACAACATGCAGATGCCATAGAAGATGATCCTACAAAAAGAAAAATATTTGCTTTATAATATACTGATTTAAAAAATACATATGTACACAAAATTATTGGTACTGGTTATTTCCTTATAAATACTCAATTATAATACGAAATTTAATAATCTTTTCGTCTTTTTAAAAGCACTTAAGGCAAGCTCTCCTAAATCATGAACTATAAAGATGCATATATGATAGCTGTTAGCTATATGTGGCTACTAAATTTAAATTGAAGTAAATTCAGTCCATCAATGAAGAGCAAAGAAATTGAAAATTTTTATCATCAGAGAGAACAGTGCTAGAGATTCTGATTCTAAGAATCCTCCCAGAACCACTAGCATGCCTCTTTTGTTGCTTAGTCAGAAGTAGTTAAAGATACAGGGCTTTGGCTCTCTCACTGGACCATAAGCAGGAGCCTAACCACACCTAGTAAAGAACAATCTCTAGTTTAAATTCTGAGCTTGCTTTATTTTGCTTAAAAAAAAAAAAATCTATGACCACCTGATCTATGTCTGCTACATCTTTGAGAACTCTGTACCCTTTCTGCCTTTAATGACTTACCTTGCCTTGACCTATGGACTGATTTTA